GAGTGGACAAAAGAGAAATCCCAAATACGAAAAATAAAATTATACAATTTACAGATATGTATATAAATATATTTATATATATATATTTATATGTATATATATATATATATTTGGGCGAGTATATCGACACTCCTTCCCTCAGGCTCAGGACAGAGATCTCTGTGTGTGTGCGTTTCCTGTTAAAGTGTCTATAACCTGTATATAAGTATATATACAGTTTATAGACGGTGTATATACTTATCTGTTAAAGATGTATTAGTGAACCTACAGATGACTTTCAACATGAATCATCATAAAGATATCATTAAGTGTTTGATCAACATGGAACCTGGCCCTGCTCACACACTTCACTCAGTTTCCTTTTCCAGTGAGTTTATTTCATATAAAAAAGATGTCATAGGATATACCTTCAACATATACTCTGTGCTACATTACATGAATACATTGCATTCAAATATGAATGCAAATAAACAGCAGCTAAATAACAGAATGTACACATTCCTACTTTAATGCTTTGGTTGCTGCTGGAGAGGTGTTGGTCACTTTAACTTCATGAAGTTCATTCATTTTTAGAAACATTCTACAATTAATACATTTTGTTTTCTTTTTAAGCATTTTTTTCATCTCCATCTCTCCATAAATATAGGTTTATATATAACACTATGAACACAGTCACATGTATTACATTTTAATCAGCACATTTAAGATGGCTTTAGGAATCATTCACCCTTTAGTTATCAGGCCTACCAGACAGCACTTTAGAACAGAGCACATGTTTACACATGTTTCTTAGTTTGGACATTTGCAGTCCGTACATGACGGGGTTCATTAGTGGCTGTATGATGGTAAAATACAGTAACAGAATAATACGCAGCGCACTGGGAACACCGCTCATATCAAATCTACTCTGAAGTATTTCAAAGCTGCAGCCAAAAGAGAAGTTGAGGAGGGAAACAAGGTGAGGTGTGCAGGTACTGAGAGCTTTCTGTCTGGTCTGTTTGGAGCCAGAGAAACACACTCTGAGGATCCTCATGTACGAGAAGAGGATTGGAAAGAGAGGGACAAAGACAGATAAAGCAGTGTTAAAAAGTCCATAAATGTTGTTCACCTGAGTGTCAGAACATGCCAACTTCACAACAGCATAGTTACTACAATACAAACCATTTATTATGTTTCCACAAAGTGTCAAACGGATGCTTAAATATAACGTTGTCGGGAACTTTACAAAAGAGTACAACCAAACCAGAATAATGAAGATAAGCGCCTTGTGAGAAGTCATACGTGTGTTATATTGCAGAGGATAACAGATAGCAAGATATCTGTCATAAGACATGACGGTTAAATTGTAAAACTCAATACCTCCATATGTATGCAAGCAGAAAATCTGCAGGAAGCAGAGCGGAGCAGAAACAGTGTGAATGTCAGAGAGGATCTGAACCAGAAGGAATGGAAACAGCCCTGTACTACCATACAGTTCATTTACAAACAGGCTGCACAGAAAAAGGTACATAGGTTCATGTAAGCTCCTGTTCACACAGATAACCACAATCAGAGACGTGTTGGCAACAACAATCACAATGTACAACATGGCAGTTATCATGAAACACAAGTACTTCAAATATCCAACATTCAAATAAGCTCCAAGAATGAAATAGGATACAGTTTCTGAAGTTGAATTGGACATCATTCTTAGAGGTTAAACGTTAGTATATCTGAGCACATTTAAACTTCACAGTCTTAACTTACCATCCCCCCCCAGAGTGTGTCAGGAACTGTAAATGAATGCAACATGAGCACATCACACAGTGCAGTGTCTCTCCCCTGCTGTGCTGCAGACTGCTGCAGTCCCTTCTGTCAGCTGCAGAGACTTCTGCTGCTTTAAAGCTTCCAGAACACCAGAAGCCAACAGGCCAGCCCCTCACCATCAGGACCCAGACCAGCCTATCTGTAGTCAGAGATGGGTAGTGGGCTGGGTCAAAACACATAATGTGACCACAACAAATCAGGGCCTTAATTTTCTTTTGAAAAAAGTGACCAGAATTTCGGATTTACAGGTCACAAACTGAACCACTAATAAACTACAAGGTTCACCATGAAGCAGAGTATGAGTGCTTTGCCAGCGGGGCTCATATACAGATAGTGTCTTGGTTTTGGATTTATGTTTTCATTTTCCACCTTTTATTTAGAAATGATTTCCTCCTTGTGTCTTGTCTGGTCCTACTTCATGTGTTTGCCTTCCTGTCTTTAGTTTCCCTGGTGTGTCTGATTGTGTTCACCTGTTGCCCTTATGTTTCTGCCTCCCCTGCCCAGCTGTGTCTTCTCCTGTGATCACCCTTCTGTGTATTTAATCTTGTCTTCCCCTGTGCTCCGTGTCTGTTAGTCATCTCATAATGTCTATGATACCTGCTTGTCTCTTCATGTCCATGTTCCCTCATCGTCTATGCTTGTCCATGTTTTGAAGTCCATGCTACCTGTCCCTTTTTGATGTCAGGCTCCATGTTTGTTCCTGAGGTTTTTTCTTCATCGGCTTTGGGAAATAAAGCTTGTTTTCTGTTACCTGACCTTTTTAGTCCTTTACTGCATTTGGGTCCTATTTTCCCCCAACCCCGACAGTACGAACAGACCAGAATGGACCCAGCAGTTTTTTTCCCCTCAACAGAATGATCCGCTGATGTACACTCTTGAATATATTTTTTATAAGTGGATGAGT